CACGACACAGGGTTTCCCTAGTGCGGGGCTATGTTGAGTGTGTGCGTTATTATTTACCTAAAAAAAAATGTTGGGGCACTAATAATAATAATAACGTTAACCAGAAACAAAAACATACTAAAGGTTATTATACAACTTCTGCGTACTTTGATGACATAAATCTGTGATAGTAACCCGTTTAGCTCATGGAGGTAGCCTCGATCTCTGATCTAAGAAAACAAAAAAAATATTGTAAATGTGTATAAATGTTATGTACAAAGAGCAACCCCTAGAGTTTCTTGCTCATTCTTCTCGGGGGAATCTGCCTTACGAATGAGCGGTAGAGTTTAACCAATGTAACGATTTCAAGTGTAATAATGATTATTTTAATTTGATTTAATTATTTTACATCAAAATGAGCTTGTGTGTGCTGGAATGATATTCCCCTCTATTGCGTGACATCGTGAAAAAACATCTTTTTTCTGAACAAATTTTTTTTGTGTTTTTTTTCGTATAATAAATACCAAGTGACGGGACGAAGAAATCGTGCGCCTGGTGGTAAGCGACACGCCTATCCATAACAGTTGCAGTGCCATTCAAAGCTTTAAATCGCAAAGATCTTAGGGGCACTGCCACTGCGCCCGTCTCACTGAGACATAAGTTGACAAGTCCCATGTGTCTGTTACTTCACCAGCGCCCTTCCCAACCGGAACGCAGTACTGCTCTCATTACTGCTTCGCGGAAATAGGTAAGGTGGCTTAGCTCGTCAGTTTTTCTTAATCGAAGTCAAAGTTAGTTTCATAAATATCCTTAGAATTTTTTAAGTTTGTGGTTACTAATTTGTGCTATTATAGGATTATGTGCCTACGCGTCGCGAGACGTACGGTATCTTTGTTATTTTTCGCCGCCCGCATTTTGGATCATCCACAGCTTTTTATTTTTAGACTCCATGAACGCATTCCCTTGAGGTGTTTACATATTACGAGAAATCGTGTTAGAATATGGCTGGTATGAGATGATATCTGCGATCCACTAACTAAAACGCGGCTATGATGGCTACGCGGATATGCAATGGTTGTTTCCACGGAAGAAAAAAACAATGGACGTGTCATAAGCCTCGATTATTACGCATACAAACAAAATGATAAACACAATAAAATCTTGATTTGACATTATAGCAAAGCTCAAGTTAAACTAGTCGATTTGAAGTGAAAAACCCGTCAATTGTTCCGAACTCGGGCTGGCCAATCGGAGCGCAGTTGTCACCGTAATGATTTGGCAGAATAGTTTTCAAACAAATTAACTGACATTTCGTCTCTATTTCTGGTTATATACTCGATGCTCCACCGACAAGAGACTAGTTCTTCAATAAGACGAGAAGAAGTAACTTGTACACAAGTAGAAAAAAAAACAAAATTCAAAATAAGTTTATTTCATAAGCAAGAAAAAGTATTTCTACTAAACATTTACAAATGTAATAATTATTAATAACAAAGATACGAACCACAGAACAATAAATACAGTAGAAGTGGTTAGTTAGCGTCAGACGCTTGCCAACAGTAGGTCTCGAAAGACCTATCTGAGCTCAGTCCGCCGTTTTCGCTTTGTATAATAAACCAATTTTCAATTTTCTGACCATCTATTCGCTCAGATGTTAATCGTTGGTCGTAGTCCAGCTACTGGCCGCAAGATGACAGCATGTTGAAAAAAATTTCAATATAAAATCAAAACGTCGTAACTTGCAATAAAGTTATTGACTGAATTTCAACGATATAGCGACTGGGTAACGTTTAAATTATATTAACAATCCAGAATTTCTTGCATCTTTTTAAATTAGAAACTATGACCAATCATTATTAAGATTTCATAGCGTTTATCATTTTGTTTGTGTACGTTTTGGCGACATCGGTTCTATAATAATCGAGGCACTTCCATTTTTTTTTCTTCCGTGAGACGAACACTTAGAAATAATTCTTTCGACTTTAAAATTTACAAATGTAATTAAGTTTTATTGAATGTCAGAATCTTTCACTGTCACGATAATAAATTAGTTTTTTGTGAAATTACTCCACTAGACTGGTTGCAAATGTAACTTAACACAAAAATTAAAGCTATTGGTACATGTTATTACTGGAATTTGAATCATCGACCTCTCAATTTAGAAGCCACGTCCCACTGAGTTATAAACCTCTCCTTTACTATATTTTCTTAATTTAATATATTTGTAATTGTTAAATGATTTTGAACAGAAGCAACGGAAGTATTCCACGTCCGCTTGTACGATTACGCCCACGTCGCCTTTATGAATTCAACAAAATATATAAGAAACTTTTATTTAAACAATCAAAGTAGCAAAAAACTTTTTTACATTTGTTTTACATGTATTAGATAGCTAATTAGTGGAATTTAATAGCAATATTGTCATAAATTTGGACAGATAATCAGTAAAAACTGATGCAAACATAGTCGTAAATAGCCACCTTCTTGAAGTTGTTTCCGAATACACTTATCTCGGGCAGATTCTGCAGTTAGATAGAAACAATTTCGAAAAGGAAGCCAGAAGGAGGAGGAGGATTCAGCTTGGACGGACAGCGTTTAGGAAGCTACGTCGAGTCTTCTCGTCACCCATACCACATAATCTGAAAACAAAGGTTTTCAACCAGTGTATCCTGCCTATTAATGCTAGTCCACCAAGTTAAAGTCTTTAGCGAGCTATGGAACGGACCATGCTCGGAGTTTCTCTGAAGGATAAAATTCGTATTGAGGTTATCCGAAAGACAACCAAGGTCACCGACATAGCTCGTGCAATAAGCAAGCTCAAGTGGCAGTGGGCTGGCCAAATTTGTCGAAGAACCAATACCTAGAATAAGACCTGCGAAAGGTTCCTGGCGGGAAATGAATGCGACAAGCTGAGGACCGGGCGAAATGGCAGTGGACTGCGATAGGCTGATTATTGTGAAGATGATGGTTCAGACAGCACCACTAAACCAGAAAGACAAAATGCCAATGCCATGAAGCTGTCTTACTACAATATTAATAATAAGAGCGCTGTGGTAGCTCAGTGGGAGAGCTTTCGTGTCTTAATGAGAATCATTCTTCTGAAAGCAGAAGCGGGAAAAGCTATTTTTCTACATCAACTATTTTTAGATAGATAGATAACACGTTTATTCAGCACAAATACAAACAGAAACAAAACATTTACAATCACTTCACAGAGTATAACATAAAAGCACATAGAACATTCATTATTAATTTTATACACATTTATACAAAACGCATATTGCGAGACAAAACAAATACTGTGAGAAAAACAAACAAATACTATAACAACTGATAAAATTTTAAAATACTTATGACTACAGTTTGTGCTGAAATGGCCCTGACTCAGCATAAATACTGTAGACCAAGAGAAGGCAAACAGTGCTGATTTTCTGCCAGTACCATATGGTGAGCGATCGCAGCCCAGTAAGCCATGCCACCAAAGTGCATCACACGCAAATATATATACCTAACTCTAAATACTATATATATATATATATGTGTAAGATGTAAAGCAAACAATGTAAATAGTGTAAGTAATGAAGGTAAGCAATATAAATAATAATGTAAGTTTACAAACATAATATTAAATTATAACACTAGCCACCAAATATGAGTATGTTTTTTTGATATTTACTATTAAATAACGGTCTTATACAAAAATATACGAAACACCTAAGGATATTATCTAAAGAATGTGCTAGTGTGTTACATGATAGGATGTACTTTATATGATTATATGAAGTCCTGAAAACAGGCTACAATATCAGTATAAAATATGTAACTTTGTACATAATTTTTATATGGAGATATATCTCTTTTTTAAGTAGTACAGAGAATATGTTAAACTTTGGTTTTCATCTGAAGCCCTATTAGTTATTAAATTCACATTTATTCCAAATTTTTTTTATAATATCAAGTGACGGAAGAAACAAGTCGAGAGCCTGGTGGTAAGCTATACGCCTGTCCGTAATAATTACAGTGCCACTCAAAGCTTTAAATCGCAAAAGTCTGTGGGACACTGTCATTGTCACCCTGAGACATAAGTTGACAAGTCCAATGTGCCTGTAATTTCACCAACACCCTTACCCTTCAAAACCGGAACATGGCAATGTGAGCATTACTGCTTGGCGGCAGAAATAGGTAAGGCACTTCCCTGGAGCTCTACTGTTACTAAAATTCATCCGCGCAGTCAAGTGCTCTCTGCCCTGCCCAAACGCTCTTACACAACAAAACGCTCTATGGAGTCAATCACAGAACAATAAATGTGCTGAGTAGGCGTGGTACGCGTGCCAACAGTACGCGGAGTTTCGCAAGCTTGAGCTCAGACCGCCATTTTCGCTTGTACGTTACGGTTATGTCAATTAACTCGCACAAAACCTCGAAAATGATTGAAAAATGCCCTATGATGCTAAAATGATTGTCGCACCTATATTATCAAATGATGATGATTCATATCTCATATTTAATAAAATGTCTATTTTCTGTTTACGATAAAAATAGATTTTTTGTATAAGAAACGAAAGTAATACTTTTACCGCTGCTATACGGTCCATTTTTTTTTGGAGAACTAAGTAAACATCTCGAATTTTCCTCGCTACTCGTAGGCGTTAATCGTCCATCGTCTATCAGCTATTGACCACTAGATGGCAGCACATTGAATGAAATTTCGATATGAAATCAGAACGTCGTAACTTGCAATAATAGTTATTGAAGTTTCAACGACTTGCCAACTGGATAAAGATAAATTATATTAACAGTCCAGAATATGTTCCATCTTTTTAAGCTAGAAACTACGCCCAATTGTTATTATGATTTCATAGTATTTAACATTCTAATAGTGTGTTTTTCAACAGCATTTCTTATAGTAATCGAGTCTCAAGGCCCATCCATTGTTTTTTTCTACCACGAAATCAATATTCCTTCAGCGTCATCATCCTTACATTGTCTGGCACATTTATTTATTAACGTCTTCTTTCCAGGTCCTCCAGCAAGCTGGCAACATCGAACGCCTCGGTCGTTTCCTCTGGTCACTGCCAGCATGCGAGAGATTACATGCCCACGAGTCCGTGCTAAAAGCTAAGGCAATGGTAGCCTTCCACAAAGGCAACTTCAAAGAGCTGTACCGGTTGCTGGAGTCACACAATTTTAGTGCTCATAATCATGCTAAACTTCAGAATTTGTGGCTTAAAGGTGAGTTTATGCCTTTCTATAACAGTTGCAGTGCTACTCAGAGCTTTAAATCGCAAAGATTTGAAGGGCACTGCCACTGCGCTCGTCAACCTGAGACATAAGTTGACAAGGCAATGTGCCTGGTATTTCACCAGCACCCTTTCAAAACCAGAAAACAGTAAAGTACCGCTACTAAACGAACGAACACTTGATTGTTTGTTAAATATGCTTATTTTTTGTCCATATATTCTGTTTGTTTTTTAACCGACTTCAAAAAAGGAGGAGATTCTCAATACGATTACTTTCTCTTTTTTCTTATCGTCTATGTTACGCAATTACTCCGATATTTGTGAACCGATTTCAATGACTCTCATTTTGTTAGAAAGGGAGTACCTCAGTAATGGTCCCATTCAAATTTGAAGAAAATATGCCCCTCTAAGGGTAGTAAACTAGGGGATGAATACAGTTTATTGGATTTCTCGAACTTTCCGTTAAACGATTACAATAAAACATGGCAATTAGATGCAATTCGACAAACTTCTAAGGTCATTTTCTATAAAATAAGGGTTATAATTATCAGTTACTCGTTTTAACCCGGCTTAGTTAGTATTCGAGCGTTTACTCTACGTCCGATTCATGTCAGTTCCGAATCCTAGAAATGACGGTCCGAAATGACACAGGGATCATTTTATCTCTAGGTGTACAAGCGGCAAATATACATAATTTTATTAACAAAGAAGATATCCATAATATTAGAACTAAGTCCGAACTCATGGTACCACGATTTCGTTTAACTAAAGTAAACGATTCTTTTACGGGGAACTACATACGTTTTTACAATAAGATTCTGGAGAATATATTAAGATTATCATTTCCTAAGTATAAAAGTATTTTAATTGAAAAGTCATATTACAAAATTGTAGAGTATGTTTTAGATATAGAACTATCGAAAGACAACAGGAGTGTAAATTCCACACAATTGTGATTCAAAGCGTATTCAAAGAGCAATCCCTAGAGTTTCTTGCTCGTTCTTCTCAGGGAGGTCTACATAGTGAACGAGCAGTAGCTTATGACGTTTTCAAGTGTATAAATTTTACCTGTGGAACCATTGACTTACAATTATATGGACTAAAAAGTGTCCGAACTTATAGGGCGTTAAAATCGTATACAGA